ACCTGACTGTCCAATGACCTCTGGAGGATGGCGGTCACCGAGCTGCAAAGGGGGAGCAAGTGGAGGGACAGTACCCTTTCCCCCCTGGGGTGGCCGGGTGCTGGTAACCTACTGCGGGGACTGAACTATTTCTACCAAAAGTCGCAGGGTCCCAAGATTTGTTTTTGAATCTCTTTGATCAAGGCCATTAAGTAGCTTGATCAGGAGCCAGAGAGGCTGTTTGTAGGCGGTGACTCGAGGTCTCATTGGGGCGGGGAGGAAAGGGCCAGCTCCACCCCCACCCCTTGAGGCCTCGCGTGTCTCATCACTGTGGGCCCAAATCTGGCTGTCCAATGTTCTCTGGAGGATGGCAGCCACTGAGCCACCAAAGGGGAGCAGGCAGAAGGACAGCACCTTTTCCCCCCTGGGGTTGCCCGGCGACAGTAACCTACTGCAGGGTCCAGATGGATTTCTGCCAAAAGCTGCTGAGTTTCAAGATTTGTTTCTGAGTCTCTGGGATCATGGCCGTTAAGCAGTTTGATCAGGAGCCACAGAGGCCCCGTCTCTAATTATATAGCTGAGCCGGAGGTGGTTTGTGGGTGTGTCTCCCACATACCTAACTTTTGGCCATTTACTTTCTTGGTGAACTTTGCCCCAAGTTGTTGGGGTCTGGCCAAAGGCACAGCAGCAATTTGGGGGTATCTGGAAGTCTGAAGGCGCCATCAGGCTGCTGATGCACTCGCCTCACAGATACAGATTGACCTGCTGGCGGCATGAACACGGTTACCAGGTTGAACCTCTGAGTACTACCACATGTGGCCTGAGTCCCCAAGCCCTACAGGAGAGGCCCGGTGGGAGCCAGCAACAAAGGCCAGAACAATAAACCATCAGTCATGCACAGCTGGCTGGGAGTGGCCCGGACTGCCTGAGCACTGCCTGGTAGGCCCCTCTTTGGGGCCTGAGGAACCATATGGGATGCAGGGATCAAATCCGGGTCAGCCACATCCAAGTCAAGCTATCTCTCCGGCCCCTTATGACAAAAATTTTTGGTTCTGGTTTTGGGCCACATGTGAGGCCTTATTCAAGGCTCTGAGCTCAGGAATCACACTCCTCGTGGTATTCAGGGGACAATATAGGATTCAGGGATCAAACCTGGGTTAGCCACACACAAGGCAAGTGCCCTGCTGGCTGTACTCTCTGGGGCCCTCTATGACTGAATTTTATACAATTTTTCCCTGAAATAAAAAAAGGAATAAATTTGGCCTCAGTATTCTCCAAAGTCATACTCAAAACCACAAGGCAACAGACCAGAATTATTTTGAAAGATCCAAGGGACGAGTGTGCCCTAAGAGTAGAATACCTAGCCATGAACTTTTCCATATATGAAGCCAATAGGTGGGAATTCTCAACCGTGACTTAATATTTTTTATTTGTTTTATTTTAGGGCCACATCTGGCAGTGCCCAGGAATCACTCCTGCCGGGGTATGGGGCACAGGGTGCTGGGGTTCAATTCCAGGTGGGCCGTGTACAAGGCAAGTACTATCTCTCTAGTTTCTACTATCTCTCTAGTTCCTACGACTGAATTTTAAAATATAACATCTTCCTGGTAGCTAATATTCAAGAAGAAATTCTGCCCATTAGCAGAATCAAGAAGGCTGGTGCTGAGCACTTTCCTCACCAGAGCAGAGGGAATCACAAAGGAAGAATGAAGAGTGGCTGTGAGAGGGAGAACCAAAACCAGGAAAGCTATGGGAAGGGGGGTGGGCAGCAAGATAAAAATGAGGAGTCCTGAGGGTGGGTCGGGTGCCTGCCTTCAGCATCCCATTGGTCACCAGAGTCCACCAGGAGTGACCCTGAGCGCAGAGACAAGAGTAAGTCATGAGCATCATACATATATGTATATATATGAATAGCACCTTCCTGTGGTACTATCGCTCTGGTCCAACCTCTGGCCAACAGCAGTTAGGAAGCTTCTGAAGGTATGCTTATGAGAAATGGTCATTTTCTACTTGCCTATATATTTTTAATTTTTTTTTCTTTGGTTTTGGGCTGTACCTAGCTGTGCTCAAGGCTTACTCCTGGCTCTGCGCTCAGGGATCACTCTTGGCATTGCTGGGGATCAAATTAGGGTCAGGCACATGCAAGGAAAGCACATTACCCCTGTACTATATCCAGCCCCTTGCCTTTAAGTTCACGTAACCAAAAAAGAAAAAAAAAAAGATACCTTGGTCATAAAGGGTAAGACACTTGCCTGGCATTCATCAAACCCCAGTTCAATTCCCAGCCCTGAGTCTTGTCCCCCATGTATGGGTAGGAGTGATTCCTGAGTGCAGAGTCAGGAGTAAGCCCAGAGCATTACCAGGTGTGGTCCAAAGACCCAAAGTCCCCCCAGCCCTGAAAAGAAAAAAGACAGAAAACAGTTTATCTAAAGACAAAATAGCAGCTTATTTAAAGACAAAAGAGCAGGAGTGGGAATTAGCAGAGGGAAAATTAAGACTGAGAAGCAATTTGTGTCAAGGCCTGTCATTAAGCCCATCTAAATAATAACAACTCTGAAATTTACATCTTTAATTCCAAACCTTTCCTTGAACTCCAGACTCATGAAAGATCTGACAAAAATTTCAAACATAATGTGACTTGAAATCTAATCGCTGATCTTCCCCCTCCAAGACTATTATCTGAGCCTTTCCCATTTCACCAAATTCATGTCAAAAATCTTGATGTCAGGACCAGAATGACAGTACTTGCTTTCCACGTGACCAACATCACATATGGTCCCCAGAGCTGGCAAGAGTGATTCCTGAGCATTGCTGGGTGTGGCCCAAACCACACCTCTGCCCCCGCGCCCCCCCCCCCCGAAAAAACCCTGATGTCTTCTTTGACCACTTACTCACATGCTTATGGCCCCAATCCCATCTTAGCCTAGATGACCCTTGACCCCAGAGAATAGGGGGAAGGATAGAGAAGGAAAGAAATCAAGGAGGGCGCGAGAGTTGAACAGGAGGCAAAAGGGAGCACAGGTCAAGGAGATACGTGTACACTGGTGGAGTAAAGGAGTGGTCCAGCTAAATATCCAAACTACACTGAAAACATGAGATCCAAGCATCAATAACTAGGGGGCCCAGAGAGCTAGTACAGCAGGTAGGGTACTCACTTGCCCTGCATGCAGCAGACCCGATTCGATCCCCAGCACCCCATATGGTCCCCCAAGCACTGCGAGAAGTGATTCCTGAGTGCAGAACCAGGAGGAAGCACTGAACACTGATGGGTATGACCCCCAAACAAAACAAAAATAATTAAAAGGCAAAAACATACCCTGGGGCTGAAGAGATAGTACAGTGGGTAAGGAGCGTACCTAGATCCCTGGCAACACACAGGGTCTCTGAAACTTCATATGCAGTGATCCCTGAGCATAGAGCCAGGAGAAACACTGCAAAGTTTGGCCCCCAAAATAAACAAACATAACCTGAATCCAGTCACTTTTCATCACTTTCTCCACTATCAACCTAGTTCTACAACATATTCTGGACTAGATGACAAGTCTTCTAATTGGTTCTCTGCTCTCATTTTTGGGGGGGTAGTGCTGGGTTCTTGCACACATGCAATTCATGCAGCTCCAGCCCTTCAAGCCGCCATCTCTCTGGCCCCCACTCTCAATCTTAACCCCACATTTATTCCACAAACAGCAGCCAGAGTGACCTTTTCAAGGACCGGTCAGGGGGCCAGGGAGATAGTACAGTGGGTAAGGCACTTGCCTTTGTGTGACAAGCCAGGATTGAATCCCCAGCAATGGATATGGCCCCCCAAACACCACCAGGAGTGATCCCTGAGCAGAACCAGGAACAGCCCCCAAACAAACAAATTAATAATAAGCACAAGTCAGCTCATGCCAGTCCTCTGTTCGAATCTAAGAGTTCCGTCTTGTTCAAAACAAACCCAAAGTCTCCACTATGCCCCACAGGTCATACATAACCTCTGGTACGAGGCCTGCCTCAGGGCCTTGTGCTGCTCTTCCCAACAGTCAAGCCTAAGCTTCACAGCTGAATTTCATTATGAACTCAGCCCCCTTAGCATCAGAGTGGACTTTTCTGGGCTTTCTACAATCACAACCCCATATTCTTTTCCTGCTTTAATTACAGCAAAACATCTGTATCTTTGATCACAGCTTTATCACCAGAGCTTAAAAGAATAACTGAGAAAAGCATTTCCCTTTTCCCAAACAAACAAACAAAAAAAAAAAAACATTGGAAGTGATTTCTTTATTTCTAATCATCAGACTATCCTTGGCATTATAGTTCAGAAAAATACTAATTGCTCTTAGTAATACAGGGAAGTTATGAGAATTTCTGTTGAAAGTCTAGGAGTCAACCTCCAAGGACCCAAGCATTGTATCTGGACCCATAGCCGGGCCAAGTATAGCCAGGAGGGGCCCACAACTCCCTAAGCCAGAGAGGACCCCAAAATAAAGCCAAGCAAGAGAGATTTCTGGTCAGTTCCACATATGAAAAACTGGGGAGAAGGTTATGTACTAGAAAGGGCAGGACAGGGTCAGACCTAAAGAACAGTGGGCAGGGCACTTGTCTTGCACACGACCTACCGGGTTCAATCCCTGGCATCCCATATGGTCCCTAAGCACTGCCAGGAGTGATTCCTGAGTGCAGAGCCAGGAGGAACCCCTGAACATCGGCAGATGTGGCCCAATAACCGAAGGAAAAGAAAACGAAAGGTCAAAACAATTTGTTTTTGTGTTTTGAGCATCACACCCAGCGGCTTTCAAGGAGCTACTCTCAGTGTGGTGTTAGGGGACGATGCTGTGTCCGGAATGGACGCTTGGTCTTCCACAGGCAAAGCTCACTAGCCTTGTGAGTGATCTCCCTCACCCCAAAGGGCTGACATTCTGAAACAGGGTCTCAGAGTGGAGGAAGCCAGTCCCTTGTTTATGGACAGAGTTCTTTCTGGTCACCTTATGCCCAGCTGTTACCTCATCAGAGGTCAGAAGCGCATGTCAGCTTCACTGTACCTGTCCCTGTGGGGTCACCTCCTTGAATCATGAAGTCTTTGATGATTCGGTGGAATTTGGTGCCGTTGTAGTAACCCCGACGAGCCAACTCTGCGAAGTTCTTGCAGGTCTTCGGTGCATGTTTCCAGTACAGCTCCAGCACAATGATCCCCATGCTGCAGGAGAGGGCAAGGAGCACCCGTCAAGCACCAGCCACACCCGGGAGCCTACGGAACTGCTCGAGTGGCCATAAAATTGTGATAGCTGCGACATCAAAGTTCGTGCTTAGCAAAGGACACCAACATAATGCAAGTAGCGAACACTGGATTGAGAAAATCCTTTGAAAAAAACAAGCAGGGGCTTTGGGTTTTTCGTTATGTTGCTGTTGTTCATTTTTATTTGGGGCCAAACTAGCATGCTCAGGGGTTACTCCTGGCTCTGTGCTCAAGAATCACTCTTGGTGGGGCTCGAGGAACTACATGGAACGCCAGGAATCGAACCTGGGTAGACTGTGCATGTAAGGCAAGTACAGCCCTACCAGCTGTACTATCTCTCCAGTCCTGTTACTGGGTGTTTTGTTTTTTAAATGTTTGTAGTTGGGGGGTCAGCCGCGTGCAAGGCAAACGCCCTACTCGCTGTGCTATTGCTCCAGCCCCGACCAGGGCTCCGGCAGCCAAAGACCTCCAGAACCAGCCACCACCATGCTGAGACCACTCTCCACATGCATGAAGGTACCAGCAGAGGAACAAAGGCATGCGGGTCCTGGGGCTGAGATCTCCAAGCCTGCTCGGATCGGGGCTGAGCATCCTCCACCCAGATACTCCATAATCCAGTAGGCAGGGGTCACACCCACCAACTGGCCCCCTGGTGCTGTGTAATCCCATCAACGGCCAAGACCCAGACATCTTATTATCTCATCCTTACTTTGGACAAACTGGCAGGCTACTGAATATAACCTGCCCACACGGCAGAGTCTGGCAAACTCCCCGTGGCGTACCCAATATGTCAAATACCAGTAACAATGATGGGTCTCATTCTCCTAACCCTGAAAGAGCCTTGAATGTGGCACTTTTAAAAAAATCTCAGGGCTAGGACGAAGGAGACGTTACTGGGGCCGCTTGAGGCAATCAACGAACAACAGGATGGTCGTGATCGTGATCGTTGTGTATTTGGGGGGGGTCACGGACCAAACTCAAAGAGTTGAGTGTACACTTTGTATAATGGTGGCCTTGCCCGGTTCCCCAAACACCTCCTATGAGGCATAAACGCACCCCTCCAAAAGTATTACTTATCTCTGGGTTTTGGGCCACACCTGGCTTTGGTCAAGGCTTTTTCCTGGATATGTGCTCAGGGATGACTCCTGGCAGGCTTAGGGGGCCATATGGTGTACCAGATTCAAATCTGAATCAACCATTTGCAAGGCAAGCATCCCTCCCTCTGTGCTAAGGGGCGGGGGAAGGGAGTGGGAAACTAGGGACACTGATGATGGAAGGAAAGTCATACTGAGGTTGTACTAGTAGTGTTGGAACACTCAATACCTGGAACAACGGTATTGTGAACAGCTTTGTAAATCAGTGTTCAAAGTTTCATACAAAAAAGTTTTTTTAACGAATGACGTGGCTGGAGAGATAGTAGAGTGAGTGGGTAGGGAGCTGTGCACATGGCCAAGCTGGGTTCAATCTCCAGCATCCTAATACAAGCCCCTTGAGCACCACCAGAAAAACTCCTGAGTGCAGAGTCAGGAGTAACCCCTTAGCACTACCAGGGGTGGCTCAAAAACAAAAGAATACACCCTAACAGCCCCAAAACACAATGCAGAAAAGGCATTCTCACGCCTAATGTTCATTGCTGCACCATTCACAATACCCAAAATCTGGAAGGCAACCCAAGTATCCAAGAACAGATGGAATACTACACAGCTGTTGGGGGGGGAAATGGAGTCACGAGATTTGCGAATACATGGATGGTCACGGAGAACATCATGCTGAGCGAAATGAGTCAGAGAGAGGGTCAGACACAGAATGATCTCACTCATTTGCAAGATGTAAAGGAAATAGTAGGGCTGAAGCGATACTACAGCAGGCAGGGCGTTTGCCTTGCATGTGGCCAACCCGGGTTTGAGCCCCAGCATCCCATTTGGTCCTCGGACCACCTCCAGGAGTAATTCCTGAGTGCAGAGCCAGGAGTAAGCCCTGAGCATCGCTGGGTGTGACCCCAAAAGACCAACACCCCCCCAAAAAAAAAACCAAAAAACAATAAACAAAGACTATGAGGACTGGTCCTTAGCAGGCAACTTGCCGCAATGGGGGTAGGGTGGTTACAACAGAGAAGGGACTATTGACAATGATAGTGGAAAGTGATCACTTAACAAAAACTGGATACTGAAAGAGATATACATGATACCCTTTCAGTAACAGTATTGCAAACCACAGGATCTAAATGGATTTTTTTTTTTTAAAAAGGAGTGTCTGCCATAGAGGCAGATTGGGGGTACAGGAGGGGAATTGGGAACATTGTTTGTTTTACTTTTTTGGGGGGGTCACACCCGGCGATGCACAGGGGTTACTCCTGGCTCTGTACTCAGAAATTACTCCTGGTGGTGCTCACGGGGCCATATGGGATGCTGGGGATCGAACCCAGGTTGGCCACGTGCAAGGCAAATGTCCTCCTCTTGTACAATTGCTCCGGCCTGGAATTGGGAACACTGGTAGAGAGAAGTTGTCACTGGTGAAGGGAAAGGTGGCCCAACACAGTACACATGAAATTCAATCAAGAACAACTTTGCAAATTTGTATCTCACAATGACTTATATATAAAAAAAAAAATCTTACTACGGGGAGGCCAGAGAAATAGTTTCGGGGCTTAAGGTGCTTGCTTTGCATGCAGCCAACCATGGTTTGATCCCTGGCACCCCAGAAGGTCCCGCAGGACTGATTCCTGAGCACAGAGCCAGGGGTAGGACTGTAGCACTGCTGGGTGTGGCTCAAATCCCCTCACCCCACCCCACCCCAAAATAACCCATACTTAGGAAAAGCTGTTATTTTAGTGAAGCAAGGCAGTTTTTATTGAATGAAATTCACTTAGACGTGAGGGGAGAGAAAGGGAATACGTGTTCAAGAGAGCACACGTGCTTCTGCAGAGTGAAAAAAGCAGGCAGAAAGATGAGCTCCAGGGAGGACACAGGCTTGAGAGCAAGCCCGGAAAGCTGCATTTCTGCAGAGAAACAAAACACAGTGAAACATACAGTATGACCCGGAACTTCTATTTTCTGAGAACATAAGGGAAATTTTGTTACATACATAGAACAGGAGAACAAAGGGCGATTGCCTTGCACACGGCCAACCCGGGTTCGATTCCTCTCCGAGAGCCCGGCCAGCTACTGAGAGTATCTCTCTGGCACGGCAGAACCTGGCAAGCTCCCTGTGGTATATTCAGTATGCCAAAAACAATAACAAGTCTCCACTTGCTACTACTACTACTACTACTACTACAACAACTACATAGAACAGGATCTGGAGCGCCTTTTATTTCTCTCTCTAGGCTCCTACACTAAATGTTCATTTCCGGGGCTGGAGTGATAGCACAGCGGGTAGGGCGCTCGCCTTGCACGCGGCCGACCCGGGTTCGATCCCCAGCATCCCATATGGTCCCCGGGGCACCGCCAGGGGTAATTCCTGAGTGCATGAGCCAGGAGTGACCCCTGTGCATTGTCGGGTGTGAACCAAAAAGAAAAAAAACAAAAGGCGCCTACACTAAATGTTCATTTCCGGGGCTGGAGTGATAGCACAGCGGGTAGGGCGCTCGCCTTGCACGCGGCCGACCCGGGTTCGATCCCCAGCATCCCATATGGTCCCCGGGGCACCGCCAGGAATTAACTCCTGAGCGCAGAGCCCGGAGGAACCCCTGTGCATCGCCGGGCGTGACCCCCACTCCCCCCAAAAATGTTCATTTCCTTTTATTAAGAAAGTTGGCAGGTGAGTCCGAAGCGGGCGGCGGGCGAGCTAGCGGGGCGAGGCGCGGCTCCGCGTGGAGCTGCCCCTGGCCTGTCCCCGCTGCAGGTGGCCCGAGCGGCGGAACGTCCGTCCGGGGACGCGACTCCGGGAGGCGAGGCCCCGGGGCTCACGAACGCGCAAGGGGCGAGGGCGGCGCGGGCAGCGCGGGCAGCAGCGCCCGGACGGCGGCGGGGTCGGCGCGCGGGAGCCCGGGCAGGGCGCGTCGGGCACCGGCCCGGGGGCGCCCGAGCACGGACCCTGACCGGACACGGGCGCAGCAGCGCCGAGAGGCCGCCCGGGCCACGCGTCCCCGGGGGAACTGGTCACCTGTGCCCAGGGCGGCTGCCCGCGGAGCCGCCGTCCGTCCGCCGCGTCGCCGGCCGCGGGGGTCCGGCCAGCGAGGCCGCCCGCGTGCGCCGCCGGGCCAGCCCCGCCCGACCCCCTCACCTGGTCTCCAGGTACACGTTGGGCGGCTGCCAGGAGTCGGGGGGAATCGCCGCCATCGCGCAGCCGAGGAGCCGCGTCTCGCCGCGAGCGCCACTTCCGGTCTCGGGCGCAGGGGCCCGCCCCCGCCGCGCACACTTCCGGTTCCCGCGGGCTTCGGCCTTCGGGACCCGGGTCCGGGGACCCGGGAGCGCGAGGGCCTCCTGCAGAGCCGGGAAGCGGGGGCTGGCGGCGGGAGACGCCTGGCCACGAGGACGGAGGAACCGCGAGCTGCCGCTAGGGGCCGCCGCGCTGGCCACTTCCGCGCCACGGTCTGATTGGCTGGCTGAGGGGGGGAGGCGGGAACAGCCAGCGGCGGGGCACGCCGATTGGAGGGCTGTCCTGGCGGTCGACGCTGAAGGCGGCCACCGGAAGGGGCGGGAGAAAGGGGTGGGACTCGCAGTTCCCGCCCCTGTTAGGAGCTGGCTGTGCGGTTCCCCAGCGCCGCCCCCTTAGCTCCGGCTCCAAGCAGACCTGTAGGCAGGTGGGAGTGATTCACTCCCACTTTTCAGGCGCGAAATTGAGGCGGAGGTGGTGGTGGTGGTGGGCGCACACCGGGGACAGGAATAGGCCGGGGAAAAGTGCAGTGAGAGGCCAAGGAGATAGCTGGAACAAGTCGTCCTAGACTCCTTGAGCACTGTTAAGGGGACCCGCCTACTCTCCAAAAGCCGGAGAATGAAGGTTAGGCAAGAGTGGCTGGGATAAATGGTCCCTCGAGGTTGTTAGGGGGTTTGCTCAGAAAAGAGAAGCGACATAGAAGGGCGTTTGGGGGAAGGACGATTTTAAAAAAAGGAAGGGTAAATAAATGTATATTGTCTTTTTTTTTTGCGAACCATTCAATAATGAAGACTAAAGTGAATGGATGCGAACCATCAAGATAAGCACTTTAACATGCATGTGCTTTCATATTTACCTTAGGAACTCCAGCAGGTGAATGTTAGTATTCCCATTTTTTGACTTTGAGGATACAGTAAAGCCTTACCAAGATGAGCATGTGTGAGTATGTGGATACTCAAAGAATACCAGAATCCTGAGCCTGTGCCGTTAGCAACAGCTCAATCCTAGTTTCCGTGAGTGGGAATCAGAGGTCTACAAAGTGGTGAAAATCATATTAGTGCGTTCTGGGAGAGGACCGGCCTCTATCCCTGTGCCTGCTTTCACTGTCTGGAGTACAGGTTGCTAAAGTTGTGTTGAATGAGAAATGTGTAGGAAACTATTATAAAATGAGGAGTGCTGTGCATAAACTGATGAAAACTGATGAAAAGTGTGTCTCATATTCATGTCCTCTTTTTGACCCTTGAGCCACATGGAAATACATTAATATTTTGCTATTTGAGTCTTATTTCCCTGGATCTTTTGTATTTCCTTACTTTGTATCTTGGGAAACTTAAAAACAGTATGAATTGTGAGATTTTACACAAGAGTAAAAACGTATTTTTGCTGTAGTATTCCAAAGTATTTGTTTGTTTGTTTTTTGCTTTTTGGGTCACACCTGGGGATGCACAGGGGTTACTCTTGGCTCTGCACTCAGGAGTTACTCCTGGCGGTGCTCAGGGGACCATATGGGATGCTGGGAATCGAACCCGGGTCGGCCACGTGCAAGGCAAACTCCCTACCCGCTGTGCTATCTCTTCAGCCCCTATTCCAATGTTTTATTCCTTAAGAGGCTCAGTATTGGTTGGTCTGTTTGACCCTAAGAGAACACTGAGTAGCTTTAAGAAGCTAACAGAAGCTGGAGAGATAGTATAGAGTAAGACACAGCAACAGACCATGGTTCAAATTCCCATATGTGGGTCCCTGAACAACCCCAGAGGTCACTCGTGAGCACAGAGGAATAGCTCCTAAGTACCTCCTGTCTGACCTTTTATTATCAAACAAAAAGGTAGTAAAAACAAAATTAGAAACTTAACTAGGGATAACATTTTGAGGGTTGGAAATTTAATGAACCTCTTTCTGCCCCCTATATTTATCATTGAGATCTGATAATCTGGGGCCAGAGAGATAGTACAGTGGGTAAGGTACTTGCCTGAAGTACTGCAATCCCGAGTATGCCAGGAATGACCCGAATACAGCAGGAGTCAACCCTGATCACAGGCAGGTGCTGCACACCACCCCTCTCCCCCCCAAAAGCCCTATCAATTATTTTTTCCCAAGATTTCCAAATTGTATCTTTCCCTCTATTTCCTGATGCTTCTTCGTAACTTGAACACCAGGATTGTTTTAGCACACACACACTGCCTGTCCTTCCTGGGTGTCCTGCCTCTGGCTTTCTTGTAATATTCACTTTATACTTTCACAAAACTGTGCTGGAGCGATACCACAGTGGCAGGGCATTTGCCTTACAAGCAGCCAACATGGCCAACCCGAGTTCGATTCCTCCGCCCCTCTCGGAGAGTCCGGCAAGCTACCGAGAGGATCTCGCCCGCACGGCAGAGCCTGGCAAGCTCCCCGTGACGTATTCGATATGCCAGACACAGTAACAACAAGTCTCATGATGGAGACGTTACTGGGCCCGCTCGAGCAAATCGATGAGCAACGGGAGGACCGTGCTACTACTTGTCCACTGAATATGGAAAGGTGGTAGGCTTAAAGCTGCAGTGTCCCCTATTGAAAAGGGGTGATCTCAAGATCAGAGGCTAGAGGAGGAAGCAGGGTGGGAATTCTAAACTCTGCCATTGTTCAAGCAAATCTCATCCCCCTAAATTCAGAGGCATGGGTGCTACATAGGGCTAGAAAGTGGCTGTAACATCCGTGGGGCCAGCATTTTAGCCGTTTGACACTCGGCAGGACAGAGGAAGAAGGCATCATGCCTACTCCATGCAAAAACCGTAGGGTATTGCTTGCACAGCCCAGTTATGGGACCAATACTGGGTAGACATGATAGAGGCATCAGATCCCGAGTCAGTCATTTCCTTAAATGTCTTCCCCTGGATCTTGAGGGTTACAAGTGGGTGGTTGTCCTCCCTAAGACGGGCGATATAGGCAAAGTGCTGCCAAGACCTGTCCTAGGGCGAGTGGATTGACCTGGCATAACAAAAGGAAGAATGAGAAGCTGAGCAGTGCACTCTCCCTTACCAAATGTCCAAATTGACAGTAGGACTGTAGCGCTGTCATCCCGTTGTTCATTGATTTCCTTGAGCGGGCACCAGTAGCATCTCACAACAAATTGTGAGACTTGTTGTTACTGTTTTTGGCATATCGAATATATCACGGGTAGCTTGCCAGGCTTTGCTGAGGCTGGCTGCAGCGAACCTACTGACTGGAGCCCTGGGACTCCATACTAGTGAAAGAATCCATATTAGGGCATCAAATTTTTGTGTACTTCAGCTAACTTGCAACATTGCTTTCTGTAAAACTGCTTGGCTGCTTTGCACCTGGGGGAGAGGGGACTTGGAAAGTGAACAGGGCATAACTTCTTTCTAAACCAAGTGTGACAGGATTCAGGTGTATTTGCTGTTCCTGAAATGTATTGTCTCAGTAAAGCACCCTGCAGATTTGGGTAAAGGATAACTCAGGATGCGGGTGGTTGGGGGAAATTGCCCTTTCCTGGAATGTATTGTCTCACTAAAGCACCCTGCAGACTTGGGTAACTCAAAATGTGGATGGTCAGGGGGGATTACCTAAGGCTTAATGATTCCAGCTATAACCTTGCTTGTGCTGACAATCAATGTACTACGTAAATGCTGATCTTTGAATCTATAGGCTAAGGAGTGAGGTACTTTTAAATGGATTGGTTAAGAAAGTATATGTTGTTACAAATCTATTGGCTATGAAATGTGCAGGCTTTGCTGTAACGGCCAGTAAAGGCCTATATAAGATCCCCTTTGAAGAAGTTCGGGGCTCTCAGCCACAGCCCATTTTGGGGGTATGCTGTGGAGCCCTAGCATGCTGGTCTAAATAAACCCCGTTTTTACTCCTGCAGGAATTGTGTCTATCTGGTCTCTCCGCGCCTCCCAGGGCTAGGGAACTCCCGATCCCAACATTAGGAAGAGGGGCTGCATTCTAGAATGTCCCATGGTTTAACGGCACTTCGGTCAGGTCCCTGGCCCAGTGGTTTCCCCTCTTACACTGGGACAGGGCCTGGGAGGTGCTTTTCTCTTATATGGCGCACAGTGCCAGTGTGGCGCTTTCGAAGAAACAGGGAATTCCCTGCAATCCTTTCGAAAGTGACCTAATTTCCCACAATTGAAACATTTTTTCTGAGCTTGTCTTGTTTGGTCCCAGGAAGGGAGTTTCACTTGCACACTGGCCAGACCAGATGCGAGGATGCAAACACAAGGCCCCTTTATTGTTAGCTCGAGCTAGGGTCCAAGTATCATCCAACACGGTGGAGTCTTGACAAGGACCCTGACTCCGAATTCTAACAGTTTAGATACGGTTTGGTTACATAACAGCATTTTTTCTAGGAAGTATGGCAGTATGTTTCTAATTCTTGTCACTGTCCCCTCCTGTGACTTCAAGGCCCAGCATGATGTTTCCAGTTCTCGGTTCCTGTCGGGTCCTGTGACTTCAGGGACCAGCACATGTTTCCAATTCTTGGTTCCTATCCGGTCCGTGACTCCACTCCCTCGGCCCTCTCTACTTGACTGGGCATCGCTGCCCATACCCCCTACTCTGATAGGTGTTGCCATGGGGAGGTTTATCTGCCCAGGATGATATTGTTTTCTGAGAAGTTTGGACTTTCTGATAGGGGAAACTGAAACTTAGGGCTGCTGAGTCTCGGTCTTAAAGTGGAGCCTGTCAGGGCTGGAGCAATAGCATAGCGGGTAGGGCATTTGCCTTGCATGCAGCTGACCTGGGTTCGATTCCCAGCATCCCATATGGTCCCCCGAGCACTGCCAGGAGTGATTCCTGAGTGTGAAGCCAGGAGTAACCCCTGAGCATCGCCGGATGTGACCCAAAAAGCAAAAAATAAATAAAATAAAAATAAAATAAAAAGTGAAGTGGAGACTGTCATGGCTCCACTTCAGCCCCACAGTCTCTGTATTGCATAGGCTTCAACAGCCTTCATCTGCACCTTATATTTAACTGAACCAACCTTATGACATGCCTTCATGT